AGGGTGTATGGTGTTGTTGGTGGTTGATGGGGTGTTGTTATGTTGTTTGTAGGGTGCATGGTGTTGTGGGCGGTTGATGGGGTGTTGTAATGTGGTTTCTAGGGCGTATGGTGTTGTGGGCGGTTGATGGGGTGTTGTTATGTTGTTTGTATGGTGTGTAGTGTTGTGGGTGGTTGATGGGGTGTTGTTATGTTGTTTGTAGGGTGTATGGTGTTGAAGGCGGTTGATGGGGTGTTGTTATGTTGTTTGTAGGGTGTATGGTGTTGTGGGGGGTTGATGGGGTGTTGTTATGTTGTTTGTAGTGTGTATGGTTTTATGGGTGGTTGATGGGGTGTTGTTATGTTATATCTAGGGTGTATGGTGTTGTGGGTGGTTGATGGGGTGTTGTTATGTTGTTTGTAGGGTGTATGGTGTTGTGGGGGGTTGATGGGGTGTTGTAATGTTGTTTGTAGGGTGTATGGTGTTGTTGGTGGTTGATGGGGTGTTGTTATGTTGTTTGTAGGGTGTATGGTGTTGTGGGTGGTTGATGGGGTGTTGTTATGTTGTTTGTAGGGTGTATGGTGTTGTTGGTGGTTGATGGGGTGTTGTAATGTGGTTTCTAGGGCGTATGGTGTTGTGGGTGGTTGATGGGGTGTTGTTATGTTGTTTGTAGGGCGTATGGTGTTGTGGGTGGTTGATGGGGTGTTGTTATGTTGTTTGTAGGGTGTATGGTGTTGTGGGCGGTTGATGGAGTGTTGTTATGTTGTTTGTAGGGTGTATGGTGTTGTGGGCGGTTGATGGGGTGTTGTTATGTTGTTTGAAGTGTGTATGTTGTTGTTGGTGGTTGATGGGGTGTTGTAATGTGGTTTCTAGGGTGTATGGTGTTGTGGGTGGTTGATGGGGTGTTGTTATGTTGTTTGTAGGGTGTATGGTGTTGTGGGCGGTTGATGGGGTGTTGTTATGTTGTTTGTAGGGCGTATGGTGTTGTTGGTGGTTGATGGGGTGTTGTTATGTTGTTTGTAGGGTGCATGTTGTTGTTGGTGGTTGATGGGGTGTTGTTATGTTGTTTGTAGGGTGTATGGTGTTGTGGGGGGTTGATGGGGTGTTGTTATGTTGTTTGTAGTGTGTATGGTGTTGAAGGTGGTTGATGGAGTGTTGTTATGTTGTTTGTAGGGTGTATGGTGTTGTGGGTGGTTGATGGGGTGTTGTTATGTTGTTTGTAGTGTGTATGGTGTTGTGGGTGGATGATGGGGTGTTGTTATGTTGTTTGTAGGGTGTATGGTGTTGTGGGCGGTTGATGGGGTGTTGTTATGTTGTTTGAAGTGTGTATGTTGTTGTTGGTGGTTGATGGGGTGTTGTAATGTGGTTTGTAGGGTGTATGGTGTTGTGGGCGGTTGATGGGGTGTTGTTATGTTGTTTGTATGGTGTGTAGTGTTGTGGGTGGTTGGAGTGTTGTTATGTTGTTTCTAGGGTGCATGGTGTTTTTGGTGGTTGATTGGGTGTTGTCATGTGATTTCTAAGGCGTATGGTGTTTCTGGGGGGTTGTGGTTTCTAGGGCGTTTGCTGTAGTGGGTGGTTGATGGAGTTATGTTATGTTATGTTGCTTCAAGGATGTATGGTGTTGTGAGTGGTTGCTGGAGTGCTGTTATCACTTTTCTAGGGTGTATGGATCTGTCGGTGGTTGTTGGGGTGTATGGAGTTGTGGGTGGTTGATGTAGTGTTGTAACATGGTTTCTAAGGTGTATGGTGTTGTGAGTGGTTGCTGGGATGTTGTTATGGTTTCTAAATTGTATGGTGTTGCCCTTTGGTTGGTTGATGGGGTGTTGTCATGTGGTTTCTAGGGTGTATGGTATTGTGGGTAGTTGACAAGGTGCTGTCGTGATTTCTAGGGTGTATGGTGTGGGTGGTTAATGGGATGTTGTTACATAGTTTCTCGGGTGTAGTGGGTGCTTGATGTTTATTTCTGACGGTGTAGAGTTGTAAAGGTGGTTGCCTTAGAGCTGGTATGTAGTTTTTAGGGTGTAAGTACTGTGGGTGGTTGTTGGGGTGTTATTTATTTACTTTTCTAGGGTTTAGAGTGATTTAGGTTGATGCCAGGGTGTTGTTTTGTAATTTTTCAAGGGTGCAGAGCGTTATGGGTTTTTGCCAGGGTGTTGTTTGTTATGTGTCCAGGAACAGGGTTGGTCTAGGGTGTAGGTGTAGGGTGTTGTGAATAGTTGCAAGGGTGTTACTATACATTTGCTTAAATAGTTTTCAACTGGTTTTTATTCATTGTTAAGGCCCGTGCACACCGGGAAGCTTTTTGCTCTCGTTTTCCTCCGACGTTTAACGCCTTGTGACTAAATAAAGGCCAGCAATGTAATTTTCCACACCTACGCACAAAACGGCAGTTTACACATTGAAGAAGATGCCCAGAGGCGATATGAACATGAAGCTGCTTATTGCTCTGTGAACAATAATCATTTCTTCATCGCTAGAGCCGGAGCTGCAACTTGAACCATCCATGCTTGTTGAAGTCACCAGTAACTTTAAAAACAAGCATGTGAACTGGTAAAGTCTAGATCGGATATGCGGCCGGCCGGAAGTGCGATATGCACATTAATAAAGCAGCATTTTTTTATGACACTGTATAACAATAATTCATATTTTTACAGTACTGTGAGGGTTGGGTTTAGGGTTGGGGTGGGGGTAGGCGTTAAAAAATACATTTTATTGGGTAATTTAATAGATAACATAACTAATACTTGGTACAATTACAGTTTTTACATTACTGTGACGGTTGGGTTTAGGGTTGGGGTGGGGGTAGGCGTTAAAAAAATCCATTTTATTGGGTAATTTAATAGATAACATAACTAATACTCGGTACAATTACTGTGATGGTTGGGTTTAGGGTTGGGGTGGGGGTAGACGTTAATAAAATACAACAAATGAGAAATGTAATAAATAATAGAAATAATTCGCGTTAACTTCCGGCCGCAAACGTATCCGCTCTAGCAACAACCATGTGAACTTCCTCTCTTCCTTTTCCTCTGTGTTACAAGCAGGTGTCGGAAGCTTAAAGTTGTGTAGCGCCATCTAACGTCAAGGAGTGATTTTGAGTACTCTTCTGCTTGACGCCAGTGAAAATTGTTTGGGTTTGAATCCGGAAAAACGCAAAACGCTGACGATAATTGCAAGCGAAAAGCGTCCCGGTGTGTACATGCCTTTAGACCAGGGGTCAACAATCTCGGTCCTGGAGGGCCAGTGTCCCCGCAGGGTTTAAACCTCAACTAGCCTCAACACACCTGCCTGCATGTTTCAAGTATACCTAGTAAGACCTTGATTAGCTTGTTCAGGTGTGTTTGATTAGGGTTAGAGCTAAAATCTGCAGGACACCGGCCCTCCAGGAACAAGTTTAGTGACCACTGCTTTAGACAGTGGTTTTGAATGTCAGAAAAAATTTATTAGTTGTCAGTTCCTTGCTAGAGTAGATAGGTATTGTAGCTGGTTTCTCTTTTGGGGTGGTTGTTTCCTGGAGTCTTAATATGAGATTTAATGATTGACTGACTGCCAGTGCATTGTAGAGTGGTTGAGTGGTTGAGAGTTGCTAGATGATAACTATGGTGTAGCTAGGTGCTTGCTTAAGCCTAGTTCACACTACAGGATTTTAAACATCAGCAGATCGCTGTGCCGTTCACACTACATGACTTGACTTTGTGTCTTTTAATCTCTGTGGTGTTCACACTACGCAACACTCCGTGAATGATCCACAAGAGGGGGGTCACACACTACATGATCTGACAACATCTCATTCCCCATCAGCTCATTCAAGCTACCAAACCACAGCCAATGAAATGTTGAGGGAGGAGTCG